CCTGGCAGGGCCATGACTTCCCTCTTAACAATCCCCTCCCCTCCCCCCCCCTCTTTGTTATTTTTTTCCTTCTTCTTTTTCTTCTTTTTTTTTTTTGTTTTTTTTTTGTTTTTTTTGCGTGATTTTTTTGTTTGTTTTCGGAAAAACAAAGGTAGGGAGGAAGGGTAGGGTGATTGGCGCCCTGCTGCGCAGCAACGGCGCTGCCACGTCGCAGGGACGCGACGACCCTTCCAATGGTTCCCTCCCGGCCACCCACCTTTTTTTTTCATGATTTTTTAGGTTTTTTTCAAAGGAAAGAAAAGGTAAGAATGAAGGGCACGATGATTGGTGCCGCCACGTGGCAGGGCCACAACGACCCTCGCAACGGTCCCCTCCCCTCCCCTCCTCTCCCCTCTTTCCCCCCCCCCTTTTTTTTCTGTTTTTTTTTTTCTTCGTCGTCTCCTTCTTCTTCTTCGTTTTTTCTTCCTTTTTTTTTTCCTCTTTTTCTTTTTCTTTTTGTTATTTTTCTAGCTTGTTTCGAAAGAAAAAGGAGGAGGGGAGGGCAAAGCGATCAGGGTCTCGATAACCCTCCCAATGGTAACCTCCCCTCCTCCTCCTTCCCCMCCTTTCTTCCTTTTTTTTTTTTTGGTTATTTTTTTAGTTCGAAAAAAAGGTAGGAGGGGAGAGCAGGGCGGTCGGCGCTGCCACGTGGCATCACCACAATGACCCTCCCAACGGTCCCTTTCCCTCCCCCCTTCTCTTTCTTCTTTTTCTTTATTTCTTTATTATTATCATTAGTAGTTTCTTCTTTTGTTTTAGTTTTGTTTGGAAATATATGAAAAAAAGTCGGGGTTGAGGGCAGGGCAATCGTTGTTTCTTTATTTGTTTCAATTCTTCCTACCCAGATCTTGTTTCAATTTTATTTTTTTAAATGATTATTTATTTTCGTCGTTATTTATCTGTTTCAGAACATTTAAAATCGTGAAATCAACAATTCGTTCATGGATCAGATTGATATATATGTATATATATATATATACATACAGAGATAGAGAAAGACAAAGACAAATAGAGTGACAGAGAGACAAATTGTTTTTAGGTTCACTACTAGGGCCCACAAAGTCATCGAAGGATAACCTTATCGCCAAATATAACACGAGGTAATCAACCCCTTTTTTTTTTTTTTTTTTTTTCATAACAAAAATGACGAACACGATTGACAAAAAAAGGGTGACGAACATTCGTTGTCGCATGACGAGAAAGGGAAGCTCCTGAGCACCCGGGTCTATGGCTGAATGCGTACACTGCTCTACTAACATCGTTTCGTGTACTTTTCATTGGGGTGTATTTTTTTTTTTCTCTCACACACACTTTCTCGCTACCTTCTTTTTTTTCTCTGTCTCTATCTCCCTCACCCCTGCTCTCCAACGAATGCATTAGAAAATATTTGATAACATATTTTTTTATTATTATATTAGAGTGTTATGTACATATTTTTTTTTAAATGCACATGTACAAATCAACGTAACATTATGTGTTGCCATGCTCTTGTTTCTTAAACTTTGGTAGGTGTCTGCTAGCAAAATCTTTGGATGAAGTGATGCTATTTTTTTTTTTTTTTAAATCTCCTTCTATATTTTTATCTATCTCTCCGTATATACATATATTTTCAGATATCAAGAATGACCAAAATCGAATACAAGAGAGAGTGAGGCGAAAATCGGCGGATTCGTTTCTTTTGTTCGGAAGCAAAGACGAGAAGCTGACTTTGATGAAAGAGAACTAGGGTCATAAAGTAGAGAAGCAACAATGGTATATAGATAGGCTCGTAAACGAGGTATAAAAGGAGAAACACTTGGTTAAACTTATGTCAAACGAGATAGGCCGCTTCAAATCCTTACTCGTCGAAATGACAAAAACCGAGGAACACAGAATGTTCATCATATTCTGGTTGTTACTGGCCGATCCAGAATGTTTAGATGTTGCTCGTTTGATGAACGATATGAACGCTAGACTGAAAGCAATAGCTGAAACGAAGACAACTACGTTGGATGAGTACCAAACATAGTTGAAAGATTAAAGGCAGAGACACATCGTGGTGTCGAAGCACTTCGCTGCCCACACAGCTAACATAACTGACAGAGAAGCACATGAATGGGATGTTGCATGTTGTTCTAGCATTGATAAGTGTGTGGTCAAGGGAGGACGGGCATCTTATGATAGTCAGAAACACAATACAAGTTTGCTGACTGCCTCGTCACACAACATTGTCGACATCTTGACCTTTGCAAAAGACTGCATTCGCCACTGTAAGAAAAAAATAGACCAGCACTCCAGTTACGGTATCAATGATGAGGGTGTCAAGACGGGGTACGATGACCTTCCACGAAATATAAGATCTCCGCTGAACAATTGCATGAACGTCACGGATACCCTGCAGTATACACGAGATAGGTTGATGTTAGGAGAATTGTTGGTAAATTGGAAGCAGGGAGTTGTCACGGAAAGTGTACAAGGTCAACTCATGAAGGTGGATGGTGAACATGATATAGCAAAGCACACCATCACTGACAGCGCTCACACTATCGTAGACTGTGAGTCTGGGGTACAGCCTGTAGTGGTGTTAACTCCTTGAATTGTCACAACGTTCGACACATTTTTTCTTTCATCGTCACTAACAAAGCGTCACAGGTAGATGATAAATCTATTCACGTAACTATGACGACATAAATATTTGAATAGTTCGTCGCAAAAGTAAATTCGCGACAGATGACGAGGCTGGTTGCGGAATGTATGTCCCATTTCATGTCATACAACAGAGAAATAATGTTACAAGTTGTTACGAATGTGGGACAACGTGAACGAGAAAACGACTGTGACACATTAGGGAAACGTGATTTTTTTTTTTTTT